AGCCCTGATGGCCTAGTGGTTAAAGTTCGGCACACACCACTTCAGCGACACAGGTTTGGCTCCCAGGCGTGGAACCACACCACTCATCTGTCGGTAGCCATGCTGTGGTGGCGGCTCACATAGAAGAACCAGAAGAACTTACAACTACACACAACTATGTCCTGGGGCTTTGTGGGTGGGAAGGAAGAAAAAAGGAAGAAGATTGGCAACAGATGTTAGCTTAGGGCGAATCTTTTCCTGCAAAAAAAAAAAAAAAAAGAATGGAAGAGAGGAATCTTACTATTGAACTTACAGAAATAAAAAGGATTCAAAGAAATTACTATGAACAATTGTATGCCAACAAATTAGATAACCTAGATGAAATGGACAAATTCCTAGAAACACCAAACTACGAAAACTGACTCAAAAAGAAATAGAAAATCTGCATAGACCAATAACAAGTAAAGAGATTGATTTAGTAATCAAAAAATTTCCAACAAAGAAAAACCTATGACCAGGTGATTTCAACAGTGAATTCAACCAAACATTTAAAGACGATCTAACACCAATCTTTCTCAAACTCTTCTAAAAAACAGAAAAGGAGAGAATACTTTCTAATTCATTCTATGAGACCAGTAATACCCTAATACCAAAGCCAGAAAAACACATCATATGAAAAGAAAACCAAAAACCATTATGCCTTGTGAATATACATGGAAAAATTCTCAACAAAATACTAGCAAATTGGACCTAGCAGCATACTAAAAGGATTATACACCATAATGATGTGGGATTTATTCCAAGAATGCAAGGTGGGTTCAACATACAAAAATGAATGAATGTAATACATTACATTAAGAGGATAAAGAAAAAAAATATGATCATCTCAATAGATGCATACAAAACATTTGATGAAATCCAACACCCTTTCAGGATATGAACACTAAAACTTGGAATAGAAGGGAACTTCCTCAATCTGACAAAGGGTATCTATGAAAAACCCACAGCTAACATCATGCTTAATTGTGAAAGACTTAAAGCTTTTCCACTAATATCATAAACAAGATAAGGATGTCAGCTCTTGATAATTTTATCCAAAATTATACTGGAAGCTTCAGCGAAGGCAATTAGGCAAGAAAAAGAAATAAAATGCATACATATTGGAAAGGAAGAAGTAAAACAATCTTTATTTTCAGATGGCATGATCTACATAGGAAACCCCAAGGAATCCAGAAAAAATAGATTAACACTAATAAATAAGTTCAGCAAAGTTGCAGGAAACAAGATTTATATTAAAAAAATCAGTTGTACTTCTATATACTAGCAGTAAACAATAAAAAAAATGAAGTCAAGAAAACAATTCCATTTACAGTGCTATCAAAAAGAATAAAATACTTAGGAATAAGTTTAATCAAGGAAGTGCAAAACTTGTACACTGAAAACTACAAAACATTGCTGAAAGAACTTATAGAAGACCTAAATAAATAAATGGAATGATATCCCATATTCATGAACTGGAAGACTTAATATTGTTAAGATGGCAATAACCCTCAAATGATCTACAAATTCAATGCAATCCCTATCAAAATCCCAACTGCATTTTTTGCATAAATGGAATGGCTGATTTTAAAAGTCATATGGAAATGGAAGAACCCCAAATAGCCAAAATAGTCTTGAAAAAGAAGACTGGAGGACTCACTGGAGGATTCACACTTCCTGATTTCAAAATTTACCATAAAGCTACAGCAATCAAGACAGTGCAGTATTGGCAGAAGGATAGAAATATAGATCAATGGAATAGAAGTGAGAGTCCAAAAATAAATCCAGATATCTACAGCCAATTAATTTTTGACAAGGCTGCCAACATCATTCGATGGGAGAAAAAATAGTCTTTTCAACAAAAGATGTTCAGACAACTAGATATCCATAAGCAAAGGATGAATTTGGACCCCAGCCTCATACCGTACACAAAAATTATCTCAAAAAATCAAAGACCTAAAGCACTGAAACAATAAAACTCTTAGAAAGAAACATAGATGTAACTCTTCATGACCTTGGATTAGGCAATGGTTTCTTAGGTATGATACTTATAGCACAAACAACCAAAGAAAAAATAGATAAATTGGACTGCATCAGAATTTAAAACTTTTGTGCATCAAAGGAGACTATCAAGAAAATGAAAACCTACAGAATAGAAGAAAATACTTGCAAGTCATATATCTGATAAGGGTCTAATACCCACAATATATAAAAAACTCTTACAACTCAACAATAAAAAGACAAATAACCGAATTTTAAAAAATGGTCAAAGAATTTGAATAGACATTTCTTCCAAAGAATTATACAAATGGCCAATAGGCACATGAAAATATGCTCAACATCGTTAGCCATTAGGGAAATGCATATCAAAGCTATAATGAGATACCACTTCATGCCCACTAGGAAGGCTATAATCATAATAATTTTTTTAATGGAACATAAGAAGTATCAGTAAGGATTTGGAGAAATTGGAACCCTTATACATTGCTGCTGGAAATGTAAAATGGTACAGCCACTGTGAAAAACAGTTTGGCAGTTCCTCAAAAAGTTAAACTTAGAGTTCCTATATGACCCAGGAATTCCTCTCCTTAGGTATATACCCAAGAAAATTAAAAACCTATGTTCATATATAAACAAATGTTCATAGCACCATTTTTCGTAATGACGAAAACAATGGAAACACTCCAAATGTCCATCACTGCATGAACAGATTAACAAAATGTGGTATATCCATATAATGGAATATTATCAGCCATAAAAAAGGAATGAAGTACTAACATATGCTACAACATGGATGAACCTGGAGGATATTACACTAATTGAAAGAAGTCAGACACTAAAGACCACATATCGTATGATTCCATTTATATGAAATATGCAGTATAGACAAATCCATAGAGACAGAAATTAGGTTAGTGGTTCCTAGGGGATGAGGCAGAAGGGAACAGGGAGTGACTGCTAACAGGTACAAGTTTTATTTTGGAATGATAGAAATGTTCTGGAATTCGGTAATGGTGATAGTTGTACAACATTGTCAACGTACCATAAAAACATACACTTTAAAATGATGACTTTTATGTTATGTGAATTTTATCTCCCTACAAAAACATTTTTTAAAAAATTAATTAATGACCTAAGTATGGGTCTATTTCTGGGCTTTCTAGTCTGTCTCACTGATCTATTTGTTCCTTATACCAGCACCACACTCTCTTGATTATTGTAGCTTTATTGTAAGCTCTGAAGTCAGATAGAGTAATTCTTCTAACTTGACTGCTCTTTTTCAAGATTGCTTTGGATAGTTTAAGTTATACCCCTTGCTTTTAAAAACTTTGGTGCATACCTTTCCCTTTCACAGCAAGTATACATCAACATAGAAGAGCATTCTTGTACCTACTGCCCATTTCTTAGCATAGTAAATTGAAAAAATGTATACTTGGTGGCTCTGACTTCCTTGTATTCACAGAGATCAATATTTCCTTCAGTATTTAATCAAGATCAAAAGGAACATTGTTCACCCCCAATTGCCTTTTTTTAATAAATCAGTCTGTGGATTGGTGTTCAGATAACACATCTTTGTGTGTATGTGGTAGTACTTTTTTTGTTGCTTACATGCCTGGTGCTCCATCAGTATTTATCACGATGTACCTTTTCCAGTTTTATCTTAGTTCACAAAATGCCATTACCTAAATTCCTATTCATGAATTTTTTAGTGATCAACAAACAAAAGCTCATCAAGTACTTTTCCCTCCTACATACGTCACAACACGTCAGGACCTGATTTGTGCACTACACATATCATTGATTTTTTACAGTTGTGAGCCTGTGAGAGAGTAATAGCTCTTTCACATTGGATGCCTGTGCTGCTGTGCTATGGCCATCTCTATCATTTGATAAAGGAGTTTAACAATAGCTGTTCTCTAAGTATAATATTTGTTATATTGGGGATCATTTTATAAGCTTTTCAGGAGTGACACTTGTTCCTTTTTATACTATAAAGAATGTGACTTTGAAAGATGCTTCTGTAGTTTTGGTCTTGTCTTTGCCTTTAGCAACAATGTTCATCAGTTTTGTGCAGGAAAACATTATTTTGTGATTATTACGGAAATTATCAATTTATTTACTAGAGAAGTCACTGTGTTTAGTGAGCCTTTTTTTTTTTATGTGATGGTTTCATACCCCTATTTGAAAGTTTCATATCAGACAAAACACTTAGAATTGAGAGTGAATGGCTGGCTGGCTCAATAAAATCTAATTTTCATATTCATCATAATTCTTTCCATTACCTTTTTTCTTTTTTGACTGTGTGTGAAAAATCATCACACTTGTAACTGCATGTGCCCCAGTACACAGAGACATACAGTTTCTGTTTGCACTGGGGCTGCTCACTATTCATGTTTTAGACATTATTTTGGTTTTTTTTTTGTTTTTTTGTTTGTTTTTTTGTGAGGAAGATCAGCCCTGAGCTAACATCCATGCTAATTCTCCTCTTTTTTGCCGAGGAAGACCGGCTCTGAGCTAACATCTATTGCCAATCCTCCTCCTTCCCCCCCCCACCTCAAAGCCCCAGTAGATAGTTGTATGTCATAGCTGCACATCCTTCTAGTTGCTGTATGTGGGACGCGGCCTCAGCATGGCCAGAGAAGCGGTGCCTGGGAGCGCCCGGGACCTGAACCCGGGCCGCCAGTAGCGGAGCGCGTGCACTCAACCGCTAAGCCATGGGGCTGGCCCTAGACATTATTTTGAATTGTGTAATTTTATCATGATTCGTATAATTCAGTCAGTAACTTCTGAATTAGTGACCCTTTCAGTTTATCGAGAATATAATATAACAGAGTAAGAACAATAAACGCAAATTTCACAAACAAAAATGATAACACATAAGAGACATAAAAAATGTTTTAGAATTTTTGGAGAGTCTTCAGCATCACCTTCTGCTCAACCCAAAGATCTGGGAAGAGGTTCAAGCTGTGACTAAACTTCCAATGGACTCATCAAAGCTTAACCCAGCCTGGACCCTGGGGTCCTCTCAGATGCCCAGTGAAGAAAATTCCCAGGAAGATTCAGCTGCCACTTCACCTATTTCAAAAGCATTAATGAAGAACCTTAGTAACTTGACTCTCAACCCTAGTACCAAATTCCACCCCCCTTCTACCAGAACATCCGCCCCAACGGCCTGACAGAGAAAAGAAATTCCAGGGGTTAAGTATGGCATACTCTACAGGAGGAGTGGGGTAAGGACATTGTTAACTGCTCAGAAAGAAAGGATGCAAAGAATGATACAAATTATTAAATGCCACCACTCCAACCAACTTCCTGTGCTTCCAAGAGAACCACGACAGAAGAAAACTGAGGTTGAATCAAGAATTCAAAGATTTAGATGTAGGTGTCATTATTGCCTGTATCATAGAGATCTTTCTGAGAATACCAGCATGGAGAATAGTTATGACACAGAGTCAATTGAGCCTTAAACCTTATTCTTGCTAGTAATTATAGGATCATTATGCAACAGCTTGGGGAAGCTACTCTATGCTCGGATGGACTGTATACCAGTATTTTGATAACCTGTGATATAAGTTCTGTGATGTCTTTTTTTCTTGCATCTCTTTTCTACCTTGATACCAGTAACATATAAGGAATCTGTGTAGTTTGCATCTGAATCACTTCAATATACTTTAGTTTAACTTCTTGATTTGACCCAAAGAAGCACTAACATGTCCCAAGTATTGCCTGTGTTTTAGAAGCCTGAAGTCAGTAAGATGAAACCCAACATCAAGAATTTGAAGCAAAGTAACTTGTGTGGAAAGAATGTAAAGAAAACATTGGGTGGTTTAGCTAGACCATGATTAGAGCAGATTTTCTAGTTTTCAAGAATTTGAATTATAATAATTTTTTGTATCATTTCACTTTTCAGCAGCAAATAATGTGTGTATAGAGGATCTTAATAAAATTGAGATGTATTTGAGTACCTTTAAAAAAATGTTTTAGCTAAAATTAACTACACCGGTTATCCGAAATTAGCCAAGAAAGAATAACTAATACAATTCTAGTAGTGTATAATCAACATTAAAGAATATAATGGTTATTAAGATTATAAATAAATTTCTAGAAAATCATAATTAAGCTCATATTTCAAACATATATAAACAGAATTGTTTTAAATCCTCTCCTCTGAAACCATGAAAAGACCTGGAGAACATTTGATAGATTACCAGAGACCACCAAGATGCCCAAGACCCACTTGAGAAATACTGGTTTATAGTCCTATGTCTCTATTGAGACACATGATCAAAATGTTTAAATATGGACAACTAGCAAGACCATCATCTTGCAATGCTTCACTAATTTGTTACCCAACTTTGCCAACAATCTGTCCCCTTGCTTGTTCAACAAGCTACAGTTCTCAAACACCTCCCAGGCTGTCGAGCTTCATGCATTGCCAAATTACCATCAAGAAAGCTTCTATCAACTTATATTTCCCACCAGCTGTATGTGAGAAAGTCTGTCTCCCCAGCTCCTCACCAACTCTGGGTACAGAGAAGTTGCATTTCATTTGATGTTGGATTTTAAAGACAGCAATTAAAGCAAAAAATCAGATACAGTCCAAATGACTCTTGAAGATCCCTTCCATTGTCCATGAAGTATAGAGAACTAGGTCCACATCTCTTGTTTCAAGTGCAATCTAGAGTTCTGGCTCATTGACTGGATGCGGCAAAATAACCCAATTGCTTTTATTGTGACTTTTTTTTTATATTTATTTGTTTTTGACTGAATTATGTTTGAATTCATGTAAATTAAATATAATTGTTTTGTGAATTGCCTTTGTCATTTTTTAATTTGGAGTGTTCATCTTCTTCTTACATAAAGGTCTGATTACCTTATTATTACATCTATTTTTTAAATATATTTTATAATACGCCATCTCTGTGCATGGTATGGTGTGTGTGTTTGTATGTATGTATGTGTGTGTGTTCTGTTTATGGCTTTCCCCCACCACTAGATTAAGTAGGTAAATCCTAAATTTAATTGTAGAATACTTTCATTGTTTTATATTTGAATTTTTAATCTTTATGGAATTCCTTTTTATATACAGCATGAAGTAAGCATCTAAGTTTATTTTTCCTCAAGAGCTTAAACAATTATCTCCTGGAGGAACATCTTTAAAAGTTCTCTGATATTTTTATATTTTCCTGTTCTGGTTTTCATACAAGACTTTCAGTGGTTAGTAATCTGAAAGAAAAAATCAAGACAAATTTTTTCTGTAATACACTCGTGCCCAGGGCTTTTCCTTCCTCTTGGAGGAGAATGGTGCTACTTCAATGACTTGGTTATAAATAAGACAATGGAGAAAGAAAGAAAGAAAGCTCTTTAATCCTGTGGCAAAAGCTGTTAATTATCCCTCAATATCAGTTCTTGCCTTCCTTTTTAGTAACAGAACTCTCAATTCTTAGCTGGGTACATGACCAACCAGAATAAAGAGAATATAATTACTAGCTTCCTTGAAGCTGGGAGGTATCCAGTTTTTGTGAGATGTCCTCGAAGGCAGGAGGCATGACCTTTCTTGCCCCTACTTCTTTATTACTGGCTAGGATGTGGACATGATGGCTGGAGCTAAAGCAGCTATATTGGACTGTCTGGCAATGCATTAAAGAGGCCAGAGCAATGAGACAGAAATAGCCTGGGTCCCTCACTTTGTGGAGCTGGCATTTCAGTCTTGGACTGCCTGCTCCCTCTCTTCTTTTACCCAAGAAACAGAATTAACTTCTAGCTAGTGTAAAACATTGTTGTTTTGGATTGGATTTCTGTTATATGTAGCTGAACTTAATCCTGAATGATATGAATGAAACACAGAGAGGGCTTATGTTTTATTCAGCATTATATTCACACGACTTGACCTTGGACCTAGAACATAGTAAATGCGCAATAAATGTTTGTAGGAGACATATATTTCCATTTATAGGTAAGATACTGATTCTGAGAATTTCAGGTAAGTTGATATATATACATTACTCATCTCATCTTTCATATTTGGACCTACGACTTTGCAACCTTAAAGAAAACATCACACCCTCTCAGCTATGTTTTGCATAAGAATCATCTTTCATAACAACTCTTTAGAAGGACTTCTTTTATTTGACTTTTATTTTTTAAGAATGGGCAAATCTGGAAGTTCGCACCACCATGTTGATACATTTTTCCCCTGGAGCGCATTATGAATGGGGGATGGTATGTTCTCCAGAATAGATCCCAGCCAAGCTCTGGCATAGCAGTGACAGCTTCCTGCAAGGTTTATGCGCCTGTTTAATTGCAGTTACATCCTTCTCCATTCCCTGGGGGCCCATCTTTATGGAGAAATAGGCAGTTGGCTGAGGATGTTGGAATTGAACATTTCTTGCTAATTATTTAATTTTCACCTGGCACAAACTAAAGCCTCTTAAGTTTAGTGGGAACTATAAGTCAATTACCTTCCTTTGCTACCAAAGAGCCTACCACTTATAACTAAAAACAAACACACAGCTCTGTTCTTGCCTTTGTCGTCAACCCTAGCCAATGAAACTGCTTTTCCCTTCCACCTGTTATTCAGGGGATAATGACAGCGAGCATCTTGTGCTTTCTGTTGTAAAACTGAGGCTTTGGTAAAAATGGAGTGTGGACAAAAGCACTGGCCTGTCCCACCTCCATTCCTTGCACATGCTCAAGCCTTCCTTTATTTCATCTACAATTTATCAAGTACTGGCTTGGAATGTAATATCCCTAACAACCCAATGAGGAAGGTGTCAGGAAACTGGGGCTTGGAGAGGTACAACTACTCCCGAAGGCCACAAGCTAACAAGCGGCAAAGCAAGGGTTTGAACCCAGCTCTGCCCTGGTTCTGATTTAGGCCCCAGACTATGGATCTATTACCTTTACTACTAAGAGGGTCTTGAACCTCCTTCTTTCCTTAATGAACTACTCACCGTTCAAAATGCACCGCAGGTGCTGCTTTCTCAAGAAATGATCCCCCTAATGCCCCGGACTGAGGCCCCTCTGTGCTCCTGCAACAACCTGCATCTATTCCAATACAATGTTTATTTTGAGCGTTGCATCTACCTTGTGCTGTAAATGTTTTACACGGATTACCTACCTTAATTCTCACGTGCCTTCTCAGCGAGGCTACTATGATTATGGACGATCTATGAAGAGGAAACTTGAGTAAATAGAACCACGGGTGCAAATTTAGGTCTTTTTGATTCTGAAGCCTGTGCACTTAACCATGATGGTATAACACATTACAACGAATTTATTTATTCATTTGACGATCTCCCTTATGAACTCTAAGTTCTCAAAGACTAGGGACAGTTTCTTATTCGTTTTGTACTCTCCGCAGGTAGGACAGGATCTGACATACAACAAGCACTAGCTCACCTGATTTAAAATCTCCCTCCCTGGGCCGGCCCTGTGGCTTGGTGGTTAAGTGCGCGCGCTGCGATGCTGGTGGCCCGGGTTCGGATCCCGGGTGCGCATCGAGGTACCACTTCTCCGTCCATCCTGGGGCCGAGTCCCACATGCAGCAACTAGAGGGATGTGCAGCTGTGACATGCAGCTATCTGCTGGGGCTTTGGGGGGAAAAAATAAAATAAATAAAATCTTAAAATCTCCCTCCCTCTGTCGGCCCTTGAATGTGTTACCACTACGTGAGATGGGAATGTTAATTTTTTGGAGTGGACGTAGTTTCAAAACAATTGAACATACTATCAAGAAGAGAGAACTGTAGGTTCATTTTCCTGTGGCGTACACATACGCACAACTTGGCTGAAGTTTTCTGCAGGTACTTCCAGGTATGTGATGAAAAATATCTTTCCAAGAAGCTCCTGCACAGGAATGCTCCCTATGGTCTGGTTGTCATTCGTGCTGATTTACCAAGTATTTCCCATGCTTCCTTCTGGTAATGAGTTAGGATTTCTCTTCCCTGCCCTCTTGAGTTAGGTGGGCGCATGCAACTTGCTTCGGCCCATGCAATGTGGACAGACTGACAAGTGTCACCTCCAGGTGGAAGCTTTAAGAGCCACTGCATGATTTCCCACTGCTCCAGTGACGAACAGTGTTTGAAACATGACTTTGAAGAGCAGAATATGACTGTGAAATAGGACTGTGAACCTCTGACCTGCAAAGAATGGTAGAGTGAGCAAGACACAAACCTTGATTGCTACAGGCTGTTAAGACCAGTCAGTTGATTGCTCCCACCGTGTAAGGTAGTTCATCCTGACTGAGACATTCCTGCAAGTCTCCAATGGAGTGATTCTTGGCATTCTGAAGCCTTGTTAAGGTGACGCTTAACCCCAGAAGCTTTAGACCCACTATAAGCTTTAGACCCACTATAAGCTTTAGACCCACTATAAGCTTAATGACTGTCATCAAGCCTTAGAAGGTTCTGATTCAGAGGGTGCTGCTGATCCATCTCCACTGGGGAAGAGAAGGTTGAAATGAGCCC